CAAATGTATCCCCAAAAAAAAGTCACAATGCGCTTTTACCCCGGACTGGACTGAGTTATTGTGGGCGGAGCTTTGCCTTCAAAGGGGAACATTCAGATCATTTTGTTCTTTTCAAGTAAAAGCCGTTTTCAAACATTAGACATGAAGCGGAATGAACTGACTGAGCGGTCAGGCGCACTTCCTCATAAAGAACAGCGGGAGCCAATCAGAGCCTTCGGATGGAAACCGGTGCATGAGAGAATTAGGGGACCCGAACTGCTTCTGAAAATGCTAGTTGCCCGACTGTCATGCCCACCCCCCGAGCATCAAAGCCAGAAGATCACCATGACAACCAGGCACTAGGAGTGACATAAAGAGAATTTTGGCCTTGCCAAAATGTTAGTAACATAATTGTGCTATTTTAGCGGAGCTCGTGATTGAGGCCCGAATTCTGCAATGAAAGATTATGTGAACCCTAACAATGAAATTCTCCGATCTGCTCCTTTTACCCCATTTATATTTACTACTGAAAGTGTTTTGTTATTTCTGTTTTTGGTGGTTTTTAAGGGCACATTGGGCTTTACATGGTCCTGACGGTTACGGAAGCAGCTTGTCCTGGACCTGTTCTTGTGCAAAAAAACAGCCTCTTGTTAGCTGGGACATCATATCAGACACAGGGGAAGTTAGTTTAGAGTTAGGGATAGTATTGGGGTTAGAAATAGTCATAGCATTAGTTAGGGTTAGCATTAGCATAAGAATTAGGAATAGCATTTGGGTTACAGTTAGGGATAGTGTTCAGGTTAGCATTGGGGTCAGAGTTAGGGATAGCATTGGGGTCAGAGTTAGGGATAGCATGGGGGTTAGAGTTAGGGATAGCATTGGGGTCAGAGTTAGGGATAGCATTGGGGGTTAGAGTTAGGGATAGCATTGGGGGTTAGAGTTAGGGATAGCAGTGGGGGTTAGAGTTAGGTATAGCAGTGGGGGTTAGAGTTAGGTATAGCAGTGGGGGTTAGAGTTAGTCATAGCATTGGGGTCAGAGTTAGGGATAGCATTGGGATCAGAGTTAGGGATAGCATTGGGGTCAGAGTTAGGGATAACATTGGGGGTTAGAGTTAGGGATAGCATTGGGGTTAGATTTGGGGATAGCATTTGGGTCAGAGTTAGGGATAGCATTGGGGGTTAGAGTTAGGGATAGCAGTGGGGGTTAGAGTTAGGCATAGCATTTATAGCATTGGGGTCAGAGTTAGGGATAGCATTGGGGGTTAGTGGTAGGGATAGCATTGGGGGTTAGAAGTAGGGATAGCATTGGGGTCAGAGTTAGGGATAGCATTGGGGGTTAGTGGTAGGGATAGCATTGGGGGTTAGAAGTAGGGATAGCATTGGGGTCAGAGTTAGGGATAGCATTGGGGGTTAGTGGTAGGGATAGCATTGGGGGTTAGAAGTAGGGATAGCATTGGGGTCAGAGTTAGGGATAGCATTGGGGGTTAGTGGTAGGGATAGCATTGGGGGTTAGAAGTAGGGATAGCATTGGGGTCAGAGTTATGGATAGCATTGGGGGTTAGACTTAGGGATAGCGTTTGGGTTAGAGTTAGGCATAGGATTGGGGTGAGAGTTAGGGATAGGATTGGGGGTTAGAGTTAGGGATAGCATTGGGGGTTAGTGGTAGGGATAGCATTGGGGGTTAGTGGTAGGGATAGCATTGGGGTTAGATTTGGGGATAGCATTGGGATCAGAGTTAGGGATAGCATTGTGGGTTAGCGTTAGGGATAACATTGGGGGTTAGAGTTAGGGATAGCATTGGGGTTAGATTTGAGGATAGCATTTGGGTCAGAGTTAGGGATAGAATTGGGGGTTAGTGGTAGGGATAGCATTGGGGGTTAGAGTTAGGGATATCATTGGGGGTTAGAGTTAGGGATAGCATTGGGGGTCAGAGTTAGGGATAGCATTGGGGGTCAGAGTTAGGGATAACATGTAGGTCAGAGTTAGGGATAGCATTATGGTCAGAGTTAGGGATAGTTTTGTGGTCAGAGTTAGGAATAGCATTGGGGTCAGAGTTATGGATAGCATTATGGTCAGAGTTAGGGATAGCATTAGGGTTAGAGTTAGGGATAGCATTAGGGTTAGAGTTAGGGATAGTATTAGGGTTAGAGTTAGAGATAGCATTGGGGGTCAGAGTTAGGGATAGCATTATGGTTAAAGTTAGAGATAGCATTAGGGTTAGAGTTAGGGATAGTATTAGGGTTAATCACATGGGTTAGGGTTGCCTAAGCAGCCCAGATGGTAACATTTGAGCTCTCTCCACTCATCCCCATTAGGCATCTTCCATTTTTAGAAGGATGTCGGCAGTCCTCTCTCAATACAGGTTTCCCATTGAAGGTCTTCCCTGGCCATGCTGTTGTAGCATTTGTGTCAGTGTAGACCTCCTCTTGTTGTCATTGCCTATTCCATTCCCATGAACTCACAAGACTCTTTAATATCTCAAACAAATCAATTTACCGATATTCAATATCGCCAGCAGGGACCCATTGAGGATTGTACATGAAGATGTCTAATTAAGACAAAGCAGGAGCCAATGGTCAGTTGCCTAGGGAAAGCTTCATTTAGCAATTCTGGAGAATTTTGGGTTTCTCAGCCCGGGGGGCTAAACGTTCCCCAAATTTAGGAGAAACACTGACATATATCTATTTATTATAAATAAAAAAAGGGGATACTGAGATATGTGCAGATAGAAAACTCCACCCAGAGCTTGCAATGTCGCCTTGACATCTTCTGAGTTGTAGAAAAATTGTTGAGAAACACTGTTTTAAAAAAAAAAAGAAAACAAATAAAAGAAAGAAATGGTCTATCAAGCAATGCGACAAAATAAATCAAAACTTTAAAATACTTTGAAAAAGTTACAAAATAAAATGGCACAAAGCGGTGAGCACTTGAATCTTCCCCCCTCCTCCACGCCCCCCCCTTCCCTCCTTCATTTGACCTTGGTGCACTTTCAACTTCAAG